AACTATAGCATGTATTTACAATGAAAGAAAGCAGAGTAATATTTTGAGATGAACAGATGGAGAAAATTAGTAAAATACAATTAATGGGACTTAATTGCATTTTTCTGGGATTTTTAAAAAGTTTTGCAAAAGGGAAAAGTACATCACAGTTGAATCATTTTAATGTAAAGTGTTGCCAGAAAATTACCATACTGGGTGCAAAAGTAAATGTGATAGTAGAATTTCTGCAAATCGTCATGGAATTTATTTGCTGGTGGATGGAAATAATTTCTCCTGAGTTACTAAATTAGGTGCAGTTAATTTAAAATATGCATATACACCTCTAGTTACTGCAAAACTAACTTTAAAATGTTTAACTGTGGTATTCCTAGTTTTTACCTAGAACGTTTTACTGTGAAATAATGAACACATGTTAGTGGACTACTTCTAGAGGTTTTCATTTCTGTTTTGGTTGCTGAAGGGTTCTGTTATAAATCACAGCAAGTTATGCTCCAAAAACTTTGCAAGCAATTTCTAAATCCAGAGTCAAATTTTGTCTGATAGTGTGCCTGAAGTGTAAAATCTAATATATGAAGTAACAGAGAGTTTTGCTGAAAAACTTAAAGCATTATAAATTTGACTTTTGATTGCAGACACTGAAATAAAATTTTCCTTCATCAAGAAATCTTTTGTCTGTATGAACATGCAAATAAGTCATGTTTCCATCAGATAAATCAGCATTCTGTATTCGTAGGTATAGTTTAAAATGAATAGATACTGTATTCTGTTTTTAAATACCAAACCGGAAGATTAATGTTTCTTCTTTATAGTTAGGTCAATAAATAACTGGTTAGTTACTTTTCCTGAGACTATAAAAGGTGAAGGATATTAAGTATTCTCCATTATGCCATTTTTGTTTTAACCTCCCTCAGAAATAACCTGTCTCTAATCTTCCTACTTGGAGGGCTTTATGTTTTCTATTTGTTTGCAAACATATGAGGAAAGAGTGCAATTATAAAGCTTAACTTTGTTGTAATTTTGTATCTTAGATTTTACTCCATAGAACTGTTGAACTTCTAGTTACCCATTTTAGTGCAGTAAACCAATTTATTCTCCATTCAAAATACAAGTTCTTGCTTTGTAGTTGGCATTTTTAATGACCATAAGACATTAATATTTCATCTTTTAGTAGTGCAGTGTAAGTGGTACATATTCTTATATAATTGAATGACATTTACAAATGTATTTATAATATACTTGCACTTATATTAAAAAAAATCCTACACACATTGTAGAACACTTTCAGTTTATCAAGAAAACATGAGGTCTTGTAAAAATAGCTTTATTCTTCAGTAGATTCTACTGCATGTTTTAAAACTTTAGAAATTAAACAGGGCTGTTTTGTTTTGTCTTGTTTTTTTGGTTTTGTTTTGTTTTGGTTTTTTTTTTTTTTTTTTTAGCAAGCATTTCATTCATATAAACCAAGTACTTTGTTCTATATGTTCTAAATCCCAGCAATGAGATAAATAAATTGCTGCATTGGATGGAACATAATTATTGAATTTTGGCAGAACTTCAGTGAACTCTGCCATGAAAGATTAATGTGCACAGTGCGCTCTTAGATTCTAAAGTAACAGAGTAAGATAAGGGGAGTACATAACAGGCTTCAACCTTTGTGGTTTAGAGAAAATACAAAACGATGGGCAAATGTTAACTTTTGGTATAAACTGCTAATGATAATGTTTTGTCATCTGGGTGATAAAAACTACAGGAGGAGACAAGAAAATCCAATTTAACACAAATTCTCTCCATTTCTTTCTTGTTCTGCTTCCTATTTTTCTGTATTAGAATAGCCACGATTGCTGCTTTCTTATGAAAAGGAGACCGTAGCAGGCAGGCTACTTGCACTATCCAGCCATGTGCTAATGAAATCCCTCCATATCAGCATGTCATATGTGTTTTTTCACTACAGTTATGATTTTGGTTTGTGATTATGCTACAGTGATTTCAGAATACCAACTAAAATTGCATTGGCTGGGTGAAGGTTACGTCTAGTCATAGTAGTGTTTGTTATTACTCCCTTTCTCTTATTTCTCTACCAAACCTTGATAGTTTAAAATATTTCTTCAATTGACAAATTGTGGTTATAATCACAAAATCATATTCCTCTTGGCTTTTAAATAATTACTGCGCCCAAATAATGTTTTTAACTGAGAACAAAGATGCATTATCCTGCCAGTCAAGCTCCCTTGGCAGGACCAATAAGATTGCACAGACTTTTTAGTCGGTTCGTTGTAGGAGAGAACAGGCAAAACACCAACCTTGCTCTGGGGAAAACGGCTGCGGCTTCGTCGGCAATACTCTGCTCACAGGACTAATCCCTCTGCCTGCTTGACCTCCCTGGCACCCTGTACCTAAGCCCAGGTGTTTTCTATTCCATGGATGTGTGCAGACCCTAGCACCAGCCCCTGGTCCTGGAGCTGGTTTCCAGCAGGTCTCGGGGATGGCAGTGTGATGGACAGACTCCAATGTGACCACAGGCATGCAGGCTGCTTGACTGGCTAGTTATAGGGGTACAGCTCCAGTGCACCCAAAATGCCTGGAATCAGAGGGAGTTAAGCAGGGAGGATGCATCCATGGTGTTTTTTTTCTCTGTTTGCTCCTTGCTTCCAGACTGTTAACCTGCTGCTAAGGCTGGGTGCGTTCAGCTCGGTGTTTTAAAATGGCAGATATCCAGGATCTTGTATATATTTCATGACTTCAAAGACATTTCTGCTGTCCTTTCCAGTCACATCCTTAAGCTCATGATGACAGTGTTACGAGTGGGATAGTTAAAGAGGTAAAAAGGGAAGGGGCTGATCTAGGGCCCATTGCAGTCCGCAGAGAGAATCGTGCTGACAGTGCTCTTTGGATCCAGCACCCTGTGACCTGGCTGCTCTGGGATGCCAAAAAGCTGCCTCTTCTCACTTAGTTCCTGATGGCATTAGTGTGACTGGCATTGCTAGCTTCCTCAAGCGGCTTCGTTGTCTTCATTGGCACTTCTTGAAGAGAAAAGTTTACTGCGTAAAAGGCTCGAACATGCTTCTTTGTGTTGTAAAACAGATGCCCGAGTGCTTATTCTGCCCGTTTGCAGTCATTTCCCTTGTCTGTCTTCCCTTCTAAAAATGACTCTTGTAGCTGACCCTGATTAAATCCAGTCGTATCACCATTTCAAGCAGAGTTCAGAAAGTGCAGCTACCTGTCTTCTAGTGTATACCTATTTCAATGCTGCATTAGGTAGTGTAGGTCCAAGATTAAATGAATTTTCATACTAAGTCTGTTAGTTTGATAATTAGACATAATTTTCTTTCAGTAAGATTGGGTTCAGGATACTTTCATCTTCAAACAAAAAAGTGTATTTTTATCTTTTCATGGAGTACCAAGAGTGCTTCAGTCTTTCTTTGCCCTGTAAGTGTATTTAGTTAGAAAACCTTTAACAAGTTATATTCAGAGTGTGCCTGTATTTTGGAGTAGACCATGATAATTTTTTCTTTTAATTTAAGCAATTCACAGAAAAAAACATCAGCAGTCTAAAATGGTTACCACAGCTAACAAAAGAATAGGAGGAGGAATATTATGCCTTCTTTGCATGGATAATAAATGTATTTGCAATATGAAATCAGTTTATGCTTTTATAGCAGCAGGGTTATGGACTGTTAACGTATTCAATCTCCTAAAATATTATGAACATTATTGCAGAAGTTATATACACGACCCAGTGAACACCCCCTATATTATTTTGAATATAGGGTGAAAGTTTAAATGCCTACCAGGTGTCACATGGGAGGCTCTAAGATGACAAAAAAAAAGGTGCATTAAAGCAAATCTTGCTGTTGCCTCTCTTCTAACCCGGAGAGTCCTGCCTGCTGCAGAAGCAGAGCTCTCCTGGGTGGTGTGAGGCAGCGGTATTGGGACGCTTCTGTGCCTCATTGTGGCTGTGCGTATCAGTTGCTGTTCTGCCTGGCAGAGAGGGAGAGTAGCGGCTGTCTCAGGATCCCAGCCTGAGGTCTGCTTTGAGTCTTTCTCAAAGCTGGATGCGTTTGTTCCAGCTGCAATCCCAGAGCCCCTGGCAGCATGTGGTGAAGTTATGGGGGCAGAGCAGGGGGATAGGTCTCAGTCCCATGAGGGATCCTCTGTGGCTTCATGCATTACCGCAAAACTTAAGTCCCGAATTAAAGACAGAAAATATGAGACAGGTGAATGTGATTTTTTAGATATCTAATAGTGTGGAAGCTTTTCTTTCAATCATAGTAACTGATAAGCAGACTAAATTATGCTAAAGTGATGTTTGGAGTTTTTTAGTTACCTGCACATTGTGCAGGTCAGCATAACAAATTATCCTAAAATATAGTCTGTAAAATTGTGTACTTTACATTTTGAGAAGTTACACATACTGGTGTCCATTTCTGATGAGTCTGTCCCTGGGCATGCCAGGTCTCCCAAGGGATGAGTATTACAAACGCTCAACCTTTCCCTTCCACTATGATATACAAAATTTTGTGTGTCAACATTACATTACACTCTTCCAAAATATTGAAAGAGTGTTGTAAAGAATAAAAGGGTTCTACAGACGTCTGAAACATCATTTTTTTAAAAATCAGAAATGAGGAAGAGTGATGTAAAAAAAGCTGTTACATTTGGGTGGGGCAGGGGGGAGTAGGGGAGGAAGGTTAAGTTTAGAAAACACAACCTAGTCATGTAACTCACAGTTTGCAACCTATGAAAATATTTATGACAGAATTTAAATTCTGTTAGGCTGATAGATCACAGCTGAAATTGCTTTTTGTAACCTCAGAGCATGGCTGAAGAAGCAGAGTATTTGACTATAATACTCCGGTATTAATAGTAGGAAAGAAACAAATATGGGAAAGGAATTCCAAATGCATACAGGTATCTCATTTGGGGCCATATATTAGTTTGCTAAATTCCAATTCCCATACTGCTAATCATGATTGTTAATGTATATCTTTTATGACTTTCAGAGCATGAGAAGCCAACTTCAGGAGTATGCATTTTGTGATATCCTCAGCGGTAAGTACCCTACCTGCAAGCAAGATTATTACATTTTTGTAGAGTGGAGGACTTTTCAAGACCACACTTGCTGCAGCTTAGTCACACAACAGCTTCAAATGTCATTCTGGAATAATAGGGTAGTAATGTGATATACTCTATAATGAAAATCAGTGTAAAGCACAGGTGGCTGCTAGCATTTGTGTGGTCAGATATAAAAGCTTCACTATGGGTACAAGCTACTGCTTTCCCACTTGAGGAAAGTATAATTAAAAGTGGTTTCCAGATGTGCTGGCACACATCTGCCATTTTTTAAAGTAAATTTTGCAAATACAAACTGAACTGTGTTGCATTCATCATTATAAAGCTGTTGATGGGTTTTCAGGTAATAAAAAGGTTGTAAGCATCAACATGCCTGCTGTAAAACTGAGGTGTCTTTAGACAACAGACAGTAGCATTTTATGTTTGCATTGTGTTCATAGGATTTTCTGTGAGTAGTTCATAGCTGAGCTGTGGCAAATATGCAAAGTCTCTCTGGACAAAAATTAACATTTATTTCATGAAAGCATGAGAGGTGGTTCCTTGCTACGGATTTTATTTGCTATGAGATAGATGCAGGGAATTTGGTCATGTTTGTTTGTTTGTTCTCAGTGCAGCAAAATAAATGCTACCCTAAAACATTGGATTTTGGTTCCTTTATCCTAATTTTCAAGATGTGTAAATAGTCAGAGAACACAAAAAATAAAATGTGCTGAAAATTGACCTTTAATTTGTCTCAAAAGAGAAAACAGGAGAAACTGTACATGTAGGCTTACATAATGCCTCCTTAGTGGAACTACCTTGAAAAAAATAAAGTAGAGCAAAATTCAGAAAAGGCTTTAAAATATTGTTGAGAGAAGATTACAGATCTTTTGATTTAGCTAAATACAGATTTTTAGAACAAACTTTTTCCTAATGTCTACTTAATTTTGTTAGAAGTAGTCTTTCTCCTGGAAATTTTGTTATTAAAATAAAATCCCTCTTTCTTAAGAAAGTTTTTGCAACTCCAGAAGTTTTACTTATTGCTGCTACTTGGAACAAGCGCAAGGGAAGAATGCTCTGCCTGCCATATTCTTAACAACACTTCTAGCACTGCACCAATTACTGATACCTATGTCTTCCAGTGAATTTTGGAAAAAAATACAAGGCTGGGACATGTTAGCTCAAGGGTCTCAGACTATTGACTGGACTAAATAATAAGAGAAATTTTTTTTAGATCCTATGTGCAATATTGCCTGACCTTTGCATATATGTCCTTTACTTACTTACGCAAATGTGACTTGTAGCATTCCTTGACAAGTGAGAGTCTAATCCTTAACATTTTAGTTTAGGGAATTAGTGACACTGGGTAAATTAAATGTTTTCTAGATGTTTCCTCTTAGCTGGACTTTTCCACACAGAAGTTTCTTTTTCCATTTAAATCTCTCTTTCTTGACTAAGCAGAATTGAAACCCTCTTTTGAAGTGTGTATATGTTGGAATACTTTGCAGAAGGTTGAGTTAGAAAAACATCTGCTCAGATCAAATAATTTCTAATATAAAACTTAACATGTAGTCTGTACTGAAATGTTTGGATTAACTTCTCTGTATGAAACATTGTAAGTTGTTACAAAGGCATTGACAGATTCAGCAAGGGATTCCAAATGGCAACCTTGGTAGTAAAGATAGCAAATTGTCCTATGTGTTATTTTCTATAATAACTCAGTAAAGTAACAAAGATATGTAAATGAGAGCATTCTGGCTTGAACATTTTCATGTCTCTGAGGTAGAGGGTCCAGATCAGAACATGACATCTGATCAGTGTGTGGGACACCTTTAGGACACAATTAAACAGATGATAATCAATAAGCAGGATATTAATAACTTCATAGTTAAAATGCTGATTTCAGCAATATTGGCTGCTAGTACAGCAGACCATGTTTTTACATTGTAATGACTGGGTGTATTGTAAATGTTCTATCTTGGTATAAAGACTCCAAATCTGTGCTACCAGTGACTGTTTTACAAGTAGGTATTTGCTAACACATGCACATACATTTAATATTAAATCACATTTAAATCACTGTTTGCCCAGAAGGTAGGACTTTAGTACCCAACTGTTACAAGTTCTTTTTTTTACTTCCTGGCAAAATGCCATTTGACATCAAACTCAGAAATATCTAGAAAAATACAGACATTCAGATGTGAAAATATGCAAAATGAACACTACCTAGGCACTTTACTCACAGTCTGTTGCAATTAAGACTTGTTAGTGGTCACTCCCCTGAACAGGCTATTCACGTCAGAGACCGGCCCTGACCAGACCCACAACATAGCTCGCAATTTTGTACATAACCTTTTTGTGTAAAGGGTCAATTTTCTTAGAAGCTTGGATGAGTTAGACAAAATAAGTAGCTTACTGAAAAAATAGATTACTTAAATATGGGAGTTTTACATAATTGGTAACTTCAGAATTTTGAGTGCTTGTTCATTAATTGTATTCTTATTAATTGAAAAGTAAAATGCTGACTTGATTGGGAAAGATGTTCAGAAATCTTTTGGGCTGTGCATCAAAGGGCATGAAGAATGCAGCTTACTGGATGGCAAATATCTTGCCTTGACCAATAGATGCAAGGACGTATATCCCCTCAAGTGCAACAAACCTATCCAGAGTACTTAAAACAACTGAGGCAATACTTTTCTGTGTTGGAAACCTCTACCAGACACTGAGTTGATGACTGTGAGTGGAGAAATGGCTATGTATATATGATGCCATTGCTGCTATTTATTGCCAATTTTGAAAGGACATCCCTTTCTGAACATCTATATCCTTGGTTTTGGTGTATTCCAGAGTTCAACAAGTGCAATGCACTCTATTTCATCCAGGAAAAAAAAATAAAAATGAAAACTGCTGCTTTATATTGCATTATATCTGTATTTAGAACTTTTTTTTTGCCTTTGGGCTTCAGTTGCTGATTTTAATACTTTTTTTTTTGTAAATTACAATAATTTCCAGCATTTCTACATCTTCCAGATACCTATTCTTCACCTTAAGTTAAAGATATCCTTTGAAATTAGTTGCTATAAGAAAATAGTCTATAATGTTGGAAATCATTGACTAAGACCTTGAGAAGATTAAGCCACGGAAAAGGAGGACTCTTTAATATTAATATTTAAAAAAATATATATATCTAATGATGGAAAAATTCAGGGAGGAGAAATATTCAAGATATTCTTCAAAAATTTTCATGAAATGACGTTACAGAACTTAAAGATCGATCAGAAATAATTAACGTGTGTCAAATTTTTTGACATTTAAGAACTTTCTCCTCTGAAATAGTAAAAAAAGATAATATATCAGTTACTTTATAAATAAAGGTGAGGGGGAAGGTGAATCAGATCAACTTAAATATTTAATATTAATTTTGAAATATTTCATCTTGGTTTCTAGATATCTATATTAGTTTTGGGGAGAAGAAAAAAATGTAATTTTGAACTTTAAAACAGAACTTTTTCAACTTGAAAATATCTAAATGGAATATTTGAGCTATTTTAAAACACTCACTGCTTTTTTAAATGGCAAATGAATCAACACATTTCCTTGCAAATAACTTTGCTTTTAATGAACCAGCTTTTTCTGAGGGAAAATAGTCTAAAATTTTTCCTGCTGACCGTATCATGTGACAAACATATATTTTGTGCTTGTGATTTAGTTCAAAGTGAAATTTTAACCAATTATCAATTTAAGCCATGAGTTTTCTTGTTCCTTCTTAGAGAGAATGAAGTAGATGATAGCAGAAATAGATGTAAAATCTAGTTCAAAGGCTTTGGCCTTTGATAAGCCTCATATACTCATGTAAATAAGACCAGTGAAACCACCAAAAGTTGCATGCTTAGTGATCTACTCAAGGTCAGCATGTGTTACATCATTATAATATACCTTACATGAGACCTGCACACAGGTTGTTACACTGAAAATAAGCTTGAACACAGCCATGCCGTAAGTTGCTGCCCTGAGCTTTCATCTCCTTGAGGTTTTTCCCTGGCACCTGGGAAACCTGTGCAGTACAGGGCTGTAGCCAAAGCAGTGTTACCTGCTGCAACATGACTAGCAGCAAGACAGAGTTCTTGGGAAACCAAAGGTGGTCTCCATGGAGGCCTCATATCCTGTTCTCTGGCTGCGTGACTTGTAACTGGGCTGAAATCCCTTGGTATTTAGCTGTTTCCTAATATCATCCTGTTGAAATGTTTCAGCATTGATTAAGGAAGGTTTAGAGACATGACTCTTAATAAGGTTGTCATTCTAACTGATTACACCATTGCTTTTTAAATTTCTTTTAAAGGAATATCTGCTCTCAGCAAGAAATGCGGGCACTGTGCCTTCTATTGTGCAGGGTTGTAAGCTGTGGCACTAGCAGTGAAGATGAATATATCCCCTCCTCACCTGTTTTGCTGAGACCATATCTGTATTTTTTGCTAATTGAACACTTCAGAACTGAGATTATTTCTGATCATTGTTGATTCATCTACTAATGAAACTGAAAAGCAAATATGTTTCAAATATTTACTATTTCCAATTTTCTGTGATGAAACTAAGGGAGTTTTTTCTTTTGAGCTGTCCAGTCTCTTGTTAGAACTGGGTTCCAAGTTCAGATGATTAAAGGGATATTCTATATCTGTGAGAAATGAGCTTTAGCCATTTAGGAACAGGGCATGAGTTCCTCTCTCCATCAGTAGTTCAGTTTAAAAGCATGTCTGCACAGTGAGTGCAATTGCTGTTGACAGACAGTGCCTGCTTAGTTGTGAGTATGTTGGTATTCTGGAGTGTGATAACCCACTTTGGGCACTCTACAGCAAGAATGAGGCAGAGCACAATGACAGTAATCAGAGGTCTTGAAGGTCTGATTTACAAGGAAAGTTTGATTCAGGTGGAGTTATTAGCCAAATGTGTTAGGAAAGACAAGACTAACTAGTGCTGCCTTGTGGAAGCATAGGAGACTAGAT